GATGGGCTTTCGAATGGTGTATGAATTATTTGTGTTGTTATTACAAGTGTTGCTGTGACCCCCTAGGAAAAGGTTATGCCCCGCCCTGTAGTACATCAAGGGTGATAAAAGCCATTATTGGTTAAGTGTTTGAAGATGAATTTTTCTCAATCTGTATCAATTAAAAGAAAAGAATCCACAATCTGGATTTTATAAAAGCGAAATTATTTAGAATTGTGCAGTATTAAGTAGACCTAAATAAATAAGCTTGTAAAATGAAAAGTTCTCCAAAGAAAAAGAGATGATTTATAGTAGCTGTCATTTCTTCAGCTTGTCCACATGCAGATCTAAGACTAGTGTCATCTTTTTAGAGCCTTTTTATAAACACAAATTAAACGGGGGGGGGGGAACCCCACTATTTCAAAACAAACTTTTGCAAGAACTATTAAATGGAAGTATATATATTTACCTCAGAAAAATCTTCAGGCAAGTACAAATAACTGCTTCAGGGATATCAGGAAATTGCTGCAGACAGAGTTGCAAGAGATGTATATCTGTTTTCTCCACTGCAATTGCCATCAGTTCTGGACACATGCTGGAAGATAAAATAGTGAAGTTAACATTATGATTAGTTACATAGTCAGCCACATGTTTAGACTGGATTTGGCGTTTGTGTCCACCCTCTGAATCCCTATTATTACTATTATTTTCTCCTGCCCTTGTTTATATATAGAACTCAAGATGATATACATATCGAATACTCCTGGCTTTCTATTTCCCTCACAATAATAACTCTGTGAGGTGGATTGGGGTTGAGAGATAACAACAGGTCCAAAGTTACCCAGCTGGAGGCCTAGAACTCAGCCTCCTGGTTTTTAAGACAGCACCTTCACTATGACACCAAACTAGCACTCTACTATGTTAATGTTTTATTTTTTTTTCTGGACGTTTTTCCATACATGTTTTAAAAATTTTCTGGTTTATAACATAACCAAGTCCTGAGAGCTATTGCTACAAAAATGTGAAGCAGGCTGTTTGTTAGAAAATATTAGATATTTATTACCTATAAGAGAGGCCTTGTGTTTGAATTAGTTGTACCAAGCAACTGCGAGGAAAGAATGAAGATTCTGCTTTACATCTATTCACAAGAGCAGATATTATATATCCAACTGAAGCTTGAAAGACTGTCACTGGAGTGCTAGACAAAAACGCCAGTAGTTTTTCTTCTACAGTATTCTGAGAAGCACCCTAAAAAAAAAATATTTTACTTATTTCTTCCAACGTAATTATTTCTTTTGTTGCTAATTAAAATTATTAACTACTGGAGTAGTCACCCAACATGGTTATTGTAAGAGTTTGGTCCATTAATTCTTTTTTTTTAAATTCTTTTTTATTTATTTTCAAAACAAACACAACACATAAAATCTTCCTTCCTACTGTGGAAAGGGTATCAGTTGGTTACAAAAGGTTTTCATGCATCTCTTCCACAGTCATCAAACATACTTCATATTGACTCAAGTATTTTAACTCAGATATTTATACATATTATCCTTATACCTCCATTTATATTTGACTATAATTATTATTATTATAATTATCATAAAATATACTGAAATTTAATACATAACCACATACTGGCATTTCATTTAATATTTCTAAAATCCTCCAATAACACTGAATCC